AGACCCACGGAGAGGTCCCCGTGGCAGAGAACCTGAGGGAGGGCTCCATCCGACGGCCAGTGAGGAACAGAACCCTGCAGCAACCACCTGAGTGAACCCGGAGGCAGGTCCACCCGCCACGGGTGAGGTTCCGGGCAAGCGCGGTGCCACACCAGCACCTTGCCTGCAGTACCGTGAGGGACCCGGGGCCAGAAGGCCAAGCTAAGTCACACTCAGATCCCCGCGCTCTAGAAGCTAGGAGATGGCGAATGTTGTTTGAAGCCACAAAATTTGAGACGATTTGTAACAGCACCAGAGAACTACAACAATCCCACCAGCCCTAGCACGGAACACAAGGACTGGCTCTTCCTGTCTGGTGGCGCAGAACGCGACCACGCTGCTCCTCGGGCTGGAGGACTTCGCTTCTCCCCGCTGCCTCTCTCCCTCCCGTCACGCACCTGAACCGGCAGACAGGGAAGGCCACTGAGGTCTTCACAGAGGACAAGGCATAACCACCAAGGAGAAGCGACATAAAGAGACAAGTACTGGGGCGCCTGGGTGGCTCAGTCGGTTAAGCGTCCGACTTCGGCTCAGGTCACGATCTCACGGTCCGTGAGTTCGAGCCCCGCATCAGGCTCTGGGCTGATGGCTCAGAGCCTGGAGCCTGCTTCCGATTCTGTGCCTCCCTCTCTCTCCGCCCCTCCCCCGTTCATGCTCTGTCTCTCTCTGTCTCAAAAATAAAATAAAACCTTAAAAAAATAAGAATAAAAAAAAAGAGACAAGTACTCCATGGTTCCAGTAACAAGAGGGCATCACGGCAGTCAAACTCCTAGACACACACAGCAGAACAGTGGCCGCCAGGGCCAGGGCTGGGGGGACCAGAGAGCTGTCCTCCAGGGAGCGTGGACCTCCAGTGACTTCCAGTGACGCGGGATGAAGAAGCCCTAGAGGGCCCGCCGTACAACAGTGCGCATACAAGGAACACTGAAACATGTAAAAACTGCTAACAGAGCAAACTTACATGGGTTTCACCATCATTTTTTAAAAAGTGAAATAAAGTCTGGGTCAAGTTCTTGGACAGTAATATTTCCGTTTTTAGAAAATACAAGTCATGGATTTGGATGTGACTTTTAAAAATCCAACTTTCAAATGATGTCACTATCAGCGTAATCCAGGTGGAGGACTGGGTTCCGGTCCCGACCACCATGTACCGTAGGCGACAAGAGGAGCCAGAGAACACTCATCGGTGACGCGCTGCCAGGCTTCGTGGGGGTGGGGGTGGGGGCGGGGGTGGGCCTTGTGTCGCCAGAAGCAGCAAAGTGAACAGGAGACACGTTCCAGACCCCGGACGTGGAGACCGGCTCACTCCCGGCTGGCCCTCAGGCACCTGCTGCGTGACCGGGAAGAAGGCCTCAGAGAGCGGACACCCAGGGACAAAGAGGGAGACGGCACGACTGGGAACCCCAAACTGACGGCATCCGGGACCAGGCACTTGAGTGCTGGGTGGGCAGGTCTGCCTGAAGGACACGTGCATCAGTTGTCTCCCAAACAGCGTCTCTGCCCACAGCCAGCCAGCCCAAGGGTCCTTCTGACAAGCTCCAAAGTGACAACAAAACACAAATCCCTTTATTCCATTCTTATCAATGAAAGACACACACCTCAAGGGTTACAGCTTTTTTACACAAAAGCCTGGCTTAAACGGTAAGGTAACAAGTTAGGGATCGTAACTACAATTCCTCATTCATAAAAGCAGTGTAGTAATTTTATTAAAACTCTGGTTTATCGGGGCACCTGAGAGGCTCAGACGGTTCAGAGTCTGACTCTTGACTTCAGCTCAGGACGTTATCTCACAGTTTGTGGGATCGAGCCCCTTGTTGGGCTCCCCCGCTGACAGCATAGAGCCTGCTTATTATTCTCTCTCTCTCCCTCTCTCTACCCCCTCCCCACTCACGTGCTCACCCTACCAAGGGCTGCAGCTGCCCTGGCCTCTGCAACAGTGCAAAGCCATTACCACCTGCGTGGAATGCACCTGGAGGACCCGCGACATTTAACAAGGCTGTTTTGTCACCGACGTGTGAACAGTGCTGACCTGTGTTGGTCAAGATTTCCAATTATTGCTTCCTTCCTCTTTAACTCTAAGCTCTGAGTTTAGTGTCATCATTCACAGGAGTTCACACTATTTTCCAACTAACCTATTCTTTACAATGAGGCATTTTGATTCAACGTATTTTCTGCCTCCATGTTCTTGATAAATGAACTTTAGTCTTGGTACGTATACTTTAAACACATGTGTACATTACAATCCACTATAAATTAACTCTAATCCCACCAGCGAAGAATAAGTAATCCCGTTAGAAAATTTGTGACACATCATTACTATTTACTTAACTAATTGGCAATATACTACCAAGGTAAATATAATAAAACCCTCGGTCATTTCTTGCATTTACGGAGAACTGTTTACGAGATGAAATCATGTGTGTGCTTGGGCTTCAGTGCCTGCAATTTTTTGTTGTTGTCCAACTCTTCTGTGCCTGAGAAACAGTGCGGGTAAGCGACCCCTAAAGACACGATCACACCCACGGAAGCACCAGTCAATAGTGGAGCCGAAGACAGACACGGTGGGGACACAAGCACATGCATGAAGTGCAAGCAGGAGAGATGCCCGATCCCGGGAGACTGAGACAGCAGGCCCTGAGCGAGAACTTGATTTAAGGCGGTGGAAATCAAAGGCCAAACAGGAGAAAAGTAGGACCCCTGAGTAGACAGGAGAGAAGGTGAGGTATAATGGTAACGAAATTAGGACGGGATTATTAACAAAACATAAGCAACACAGAACGAACAAACTGGAGGAAAACAGGAATAACTTGAAGACTTCAAGTTCACTGCTGTTCCTGGTGGTAACGGAAAGAAGTAAGGCTGGTTGTCAGCATTTCAGGTTATTACAAGGAGACCCGAAAGACAGAGGAGTCCTTTCAAAAGCTAGGCATTATCAAACATGGAACCAGAACCAGTGGTGGGTCCAGTCCGCTTCACTTCTGATTTGTACCTTTGCGTCTGACGCGTTTCATTGTGAAAATAATAAACAGAAATTAAGACAGTGCAATGCTCGTTCAGGGACAAGACAAGCCAGCCAATAAAACACAAAAAGGTCGGACACACAGAACACATACCTGGAAGTGTCACCTCCTAGCACGACTGCCCCAGAGCGTCAGTGGTGAAAGGGCCGGCCAACAACGGGTACAGCCAGCGGATCTGCCCTGGGTTGGTGGGGGCGGGGGAGGGGGGCGAGCAGAGCTGAACTCCAGCCTCCCACCACACACCAAGCACTTTCAGGGGATTGAACACGCGTGTCAAAGGCAAAACTATGAAAGCTTTTACAGGGCAAGATACAATGGGAGCTGTCTGACTGATGGCGGAGGAGAAACTAGACCCCAAAGAGGAAAATCCGACGGGAATACAGGAGAGGTCGAATCCAACTGCATTAAGAGCGTCTGCTCATCCACAGACACCACGAACACAGTGCACTTTGCACGAATCGAGAACCTAACGGAACAACAGCCCAGAGACAGGAGTCTCCTCTGTGGCACCGGCCACGCGTACCAGAGCAAGGGCTCGCGCCGCACCCTTCCAGACGGAACACTTCGCAGAGGTCCGGGAGATCAAACGCTGGGGGGGGGGGGG